TTTCTCATATTTTATCAACCTTAGAGAAATCTTCTGGGTCAGGGCAAAAATAAATTCTAGAATAACATTATGATATCCCTGAAATCACTCTTGCTACTGATGTGTATCAGTTAAAAGTTCTTTGTGAACCTTTGGTTGATTTTCAAAATCTTAAGGATAATGGTTTTGATCTTCTGCATGATGTAACAAGTCAGTGATGGGAGAACTATTTCGATCGTATCAATGAACATGTTTATCCTCGTCTAGTAAAAGTTTTTTAGAATCATGCAAAATCTTCCTACTATCGAGTGGTCTCATTAGTTAAAGGAAGATAGATTGTGATCAATGAACAAGTTATTACAAAACTTCTTAATCAAGATGGAAAAGGAATAAGATGTTATCAAGCATTAGAAATATGGTCTGACTTGATAGAGATAACCAATTCCATCTTCAAATCTAAAAAGGTTGCCAAGACTGTCAATCTTCATGATCATATAAAAATTTGGGCCAAAATTCTCTTGACAACAATTCATCAGGAAAAAACAAAAGACTTTGCAACTTACTTAATCGGAGATCAAAGATACATCTTGTTTTTCATTGCTTCAGGTACTCAAATCAATCTTCCCTCTCTCCTCTTTTATCATTTGAGAGACAATTTTGAAGAAACAAGAAAAGGAAGCAATAAGAATAAGTCTTGGATTTCATTTGAAAGTCTTATTTGTGACATCATCACTGAAAGAGATTTGCTAAAATATATGGTTGTTGGGGATCTTGAAAAGAGCTCTGGAGAATCTTTCAATGCCATAAATCTGGATAAAATAGGGATTTTGAAAGATGTAATTAATTCCCCTGTAGAAAAGACTGCAAAAGATAGCTTCTCAAGAAGAATCTCATCTAAGAAACTTCTTATTCAGAATCAAAAGGAATGTTTATAGGAATTGATTCTCTTCCTGAATGAATGTATTCAAGCTGATAGATCTGAAGAAAGGGCAAGGAAATGAAATCAAATGAATCCTGAAGTCCTCAGGTCTGATGAAAATTTGTTAAGTAAGAGAATATTGGCTATGGAAGCCATGTGTCAAGAAGATATGTCCTCTTTGAAAATGAAAAAGCTTAAAAAGAAAGCTCCACAGGCACTTAAGTCAGTTCTTCAAGGATAAAATCTAGTGTTCTTCATTCACCATTCTTAAGTGAGTTCTCTAACTCTCGTTGAGATATTGGTACGTCTGGTTGTGATTTGAGAATAATTATTGCATTTATTCCTGCACCAACTCCAGTCTATTCCACAACAGTTACAACCCTACCTATTCCACAAGTCATAGTTTCACTCAACCAACCTCTTCAAACAACTATTTTTATAACATCTTGTTCAAATACAGTCTCTATTCTTTCGCGAATCTCCTCACCCTAATAATAACCTATCTCTATCACCAATAATGCATTAAACCCATATGAAACTTTTCCTATTGAGACTTGCTCTAATGAACATATTTCTCTCAATAGATCCATCTCTGACCTTTCCCTTCCTAACCTTAAACTTCATGAAGTGATTCCAAAATTAAAAAAAATGCCACAAAGAGGATTATAAAAATTTGTGAGGAGTCAAGCACTAGCCTTGATCCCTCCTGACTTGATGAAAGATGGAATCAGTTTAATAGATGAATGGCTGTAGAGTTTCAGAGAATCAAAAATCTATCTATACAAACCAAGTAGAAATTTGTTAAGGAAGCAAAAGAAAGATATATGGTTCTAGAGGCAAAGAAAATAGTTGAAAAAGAAGCAGCTCATAGAGAAGTTGTTGAAAAGAAACTTGCAGATGCAGTAAACAATCCAGTAAATACCTCTAACATATTTTCTCATGTGTTAAAAACACTCGAAAGCCTGCATAAAGAACAACTAGTAATAAATAAAAAACTAGACAAACAAGAAGAAGTTACCAATAATATTCAGAGCATGCTGATTCAACTGCTGGCTCAGAAGAATCCATCCCCATCTAACCCTTAGACACTATAGGTTGTCCAATTTCAGTTAGTGTTGTTCATTTTTGCTTAAGATTTTGTTAATATTTTAAGTTTCATGTTGGACAAACTATTTTTATTTTTTATGTACTCTATTGTTTCTTCTTTGTAGTTCATCTTTTTAATCATTTTAGTATGTTTTTTAAATGCGTTTATTACTTTCTATAAACATGCTTATTGTTTTTCTCACAAATGGATTTTAAATTCTTAAATATCTTTTTGATTATGACAAAAAGGGGGAGAAAGAAAGATAGTGATGATTTTGATATATCTAATTCTCTATAATCCTGCTGCTTACATTCTAACAATATATATACAAGATTGTTTTTAGAGTGTTGTTTTAGGTACAAGGAATAAGCATTTAAATCTATCACTTAGAAGGTTCTGTAAAGAACTTATGAAGTCTTAAGAATTCAAATCAACCAAAATAAGATATAGAACTTATATTGTTTAGAAGGTTCTGACATAAAAGATCTATTGAACGATGTTCTGATAAAGTCAAGATCTGATAAGCGTTAAAGATGATCTTATTCTTTAATCACGCGATAACAAAGATAACAATGATTAAAAAGACCTTTTCCTTTCTAAAGATTGTTAAGTCTTTAACTCAAGGGGAGATTGTTTATTTCAGGGGGAGTTTCTCTAAACTTACTCTGATACTTTAATTAATATTACCTTGTAAAATTGTTTCATCAAAATACATGGTTTTGTCAACATCAAAAAGGGAGAGATTGTAAGAACAATATTTGATTCTACATGTAATCTCTAAATTTTGATGATAACAATGCATATATTTTATATGTAACAAATTTGGTATCTAATAGTTCTTTAAGTGTGCAGATAAAATATTCAAATTGATTCAGAATTGTTGTCTAAAGAATCATCAAATGTGTTTAGCTCGCATCAGAAAGACTATCGTTTTAAAGTTCTGAAGAAATATCAATAGTTCTGAAGAATGTTGAATATTTGCCAAAAACGGAACCACATGTACTTCTCCAATTAAGTTGTTGCTTCAAAAGTCATGTGTGTTCAGAAATAGAATCAACAATGAAGATCATATATCAGCTTATACTTCCAAGATCAGATATCATGCTTATGTTTTAATGATCATATAAAGTGCTTCTCAGATAAGCTTTTGCTTCAATGCTTAGATATCAAGAAACTGTTTGTCAGATAAATTGCTACTACTTATCTGAAGACTAGGTTCTAATTATGAAAACTTTGATACCTTTGAGAACACTACAAGAAATATCTTCTGGAATAGTCATCTCTTCATATTAGAAACATTCTATTAGAAGATTGAAGAACAATGTTATGATCTCTTCTACACTCTCATTCTACTTCAAAATAAAATTATTTCAAATAGAAAAAAACATCATAAACTTATACAAGAATTAAACAAGTACAATAGTACAACACTTTTTCCATTATTCATAGAGAACGCGGTGTACAAAAGAAAGTTTGTGTGTGCTCACTATTTGCCATGTTCTTATACTACAATTATAGCAAACGATTTGATGAAAGTGACGTTCTTCAACGATCTTCTTTTCTTTGCTTATATAAAGAGGATAACTACTTCATTGGAAAGCAACAACGAAGAAAATAAAAAAGCAAATACTTAAACGATTGAGGAATTGAAGTTACTATAAAAGAGAGAAAATAAAAGAGAGAAAATATTCTAAGAAAGAAAACACAAAGAGTTGTTGCTCAGATTTGTTTTATCTTATATTCTCTAAAAACACAAGAGATGTTGCTCAGATTTGTGTTAACTTATATTTTATAGAATACAAGAGCTATTGTTCATTCTTGTGTTAGTTCTATCATTGTATTACACAAAAGAGTTGTTGCTCATATTTGTGTGTAAACATTTGTTCTTCATTGTGGTGTTAAATATGCTTTTTAGAAGCACTACTGTAAACACTGAATTGATTATAAATCTTTGTAGATTTATTTCCTCAAGTGACTAAGTTGTAGTCATAATTACTTGAGAGGACTGAGGAGTTTTTCTAAACACTTAGACGTTGTTGTAAATTTTTCTATACTTATTTTCTCAAGTGACTAAGTTGTAATCAGAATTTCTTGAGAGGGCTAAGTGTGTTTCTACCACTTAGAGATTGTTGTAATCTTTCTAAATTATTAGATTAAATCCTTTTCTAAGGTAAAATCGCATTGACAGATGGACAAGAGTAGCCTTTTTCTAAAATGAACTTGAAAAACCAAACTTGTCACTTTTCTTTCCTACTTTAGTTATCATTGTTTGTCTATGAAAAACATTTGCCAAAAGAAATCATTTTTGAAAACTCCAATTCAAATGCCCCTTGTGTTTTTCTAAATCTTCACATTATTCTAAGACTCCCTAATCAATCTTACAAGTAACATTTAATAAGAGATTAATGGTATTTACCAATTTTTAGGTTAAACAAGTGATTTTTATTTTCTTTTCCACAAGGTACTATTGGTACTCCTTATTTTTGTTGTGGTTGACGATTTGTACTTTCTATTATTCTTTTTTATTTATTTGCTATTAAAAAATATACATATAATCTCACATAAAAATATTTTTTTCTTAATTACTATTTAAACGATAAAAAATATAGTGTATATTTGAATGTGTATTAATTTAATTAAAATTGTTACATAAACCACATTAAGGCAAAGTTCTAGATAATTTTTTTCTTAATTTTTACAATTTATGGCATTGGAACCTGAGATTCTTCAGTGGTGTAGTTTGTTCATATTTGATTATGTTAGAGTTAATTAAAATTTTAAATTTTAAATCATTAATAACTTTTGTAAATTTCTTGATAAAACTAACACTAATTAACAGTTCCAAATTATTTGTTGCAAAATTATCAAGAAATTATTAAAAAAAGGCTCACATAAACGTATACTTAAATCAACAACCCTAAATTAAAATTGTCGATTGCGTACACATACCCATCTAAACCAAATTGTTTTGGAAAACTAAACAGAAAAGCAAGAAATTTATCTATTTGAAGTATTCTAGCCCTCTCTCTTTGCAAAAAAGGCCTCCATCTTTTTCTCTTCTGTTTGTGGCTCCTCTTCTTGAACCTTTAACACTTCATTCTTAGGTTTTTCTATCTTAGGTTCAGCCTTCACTTCCTTAGCCTCAGCCTTCACTCCTTCTTTCTTCTTTGACTCCTCCACATTCTGCAATATAAAACTGATTTCATTAGGGGAAAAAATACTAACAAGTCAGGTGTTATGGATTCGAGTCTGCGTCTCTGCAGTCAGATGTTTTTGTCGAGGATATTAACTGAGCTGTCTTAACATAGTATCGAATGAAAAATTAGAATGTTAAGTTATATATTTAAGAAAAAAATATAACCTCCTTAAGCAAGGTGATTAGGGACTTGTTATCTTCAATTGGAGTCTCTTTCACTGCATGCTCAACCTTAACCTCCTCAGTTACCGGCACAGGGGCGGGCAATGGCACTGGCTCGGGTCCCTCGTCGGTCTTAGGGTTGCTACCACAGTTTCCCATTATCAATTATTGATTGAGAATTGAAGAATAAGAAGGCAAAGAAATAATTAAAATCGTTCTCTCCCTCCAATTAACAAAGAGAAAGAACGAATGCTAAGAAAGTAAAGAAAAAAACTCAAGATAAAATGTTATGTTAGATAATTGTTTGAAAGGGTATATAAAGGGTCATTACGTTCTTAAATCTTAATGGCTTGCAAAATTTTGAGGAAGCCAAAAGTTGTTATTACCGTAAAAAAATCGTTGCTTAATTTAGCAATGGATTATAACCTTTTTTTATTTTATGAACAAAAAAACACAGGCTCTGATTGAAGTCAATCAGCCAATATTTTGCTTTTACTAAAATTAAAATAAAATAGCCACAAGTTTTTTAGTATTAGATAAAAACAGATTGTGTTGTTTTTGTGTCTTATTTGGCTTTTTGTGTGTTCTGTTAATTAAGGATGTATTTATGTTATTTTTATAGTAATTAAATAAAGATGAAATCAGTAACACGCAATTAACACGGGCTTTTGGTTTGGTGTAAAGGCTAAAATTCTAATCAATCTTATGGGGTAATACAAAGCTAATTTAGCCCCATGTCGTAACATTATTGTTTAAATTAATTAATTAATTATATATATATATATATATATATATATATATATATATATATATATATATATATATATATATATATATATATATATATATATATATATATATATATATATATATATATATATATATATATAACACTTCAAAGTTATATGCATCCAGACGGTAATAGTGTAAGAAACACTATTTATAGTATTTAAAATACTTTTGATTGTCTTAGTGTTTAAATGTAAGAATACATAAGATAATATTGTCTTTTCAAGTTTACATAAGACGGATGAAAATTCAAAATCAACGAAGAGTGTCTGAAATTGTTTTTAAAAGATATGCATTTTTTTGTTATCGAATTTTCTGAATCTGAAATGAAGCATTTATAGACTACATTAATATTGTTTCACAAGGTAGAGACCCACCGTGAAACAATTTCTTTATACCAAAAGTTTCAATATTTGGCATACATAAACATGTATCAAGAGTTGCATTTTTTCATTCTGTAACATTTCATGAAGTGTTGTCATTTTCGAATTCAAAATTCAAAACACAAACAATGATCAAAATAGGAGCAACAGTAAAAGATCGACCGAAGGCCGACCGTCGACCGCCAAAGCGCCACTGGTGTCGCGTTTTTAACGCCGCGAATAGTCTGATTACTCTGATATGTCGTGCCTAAGTGCCGCCTAGAAGCCCCTACTAGTGCCTCTAGGCCCATGACCTGCGACACCGTCGAGAGGTTGTATGGAGGAGACAAATGACATAATGCTTGAGACCACCACACTTGTCCATGTGGCACTTTATCCTCTTTTCTTATTTTGTTGAGTTAATATTCTTAAATCTTTATAAAGGCTTTCAATGTCAGTAAATATTTCTCTGCGGGACTATTTCTCATACATTTATTAATATTGACAATGTAAAGCCTAATTGGAACGTTAGGTAGTTATGTTTTGAACCGTTATCCCATGTTATTAGACCGACATTACCATACGCGCACACACACACTCTTTAATGGTTCTTCGCCTACATCTCTCGTCTAGAACTATTTATGGCCATGTGTTTTTCCTGTTTTCATGAATTTTTCATGAGAAAAATTCCAACTCTCACTTTGATATTGTTTTTCCTGTTTTCATGAGAGAAATTCCAACTTTCACTTTGAGACGACACCATCTCAAAATTCATATTGGTGAAGTTCAATTTATATCTATTTCTTGAGATACATATCCCTGATATATAACTTTATTAAGAGTTTGAAAAACTCAACCTCAATATGTAATAGTCAACATTGTTACAGAATGTTGCACAAACATCCAAATCAATGACTTGTTGTTACCCATTGAATCTTAGGTTAATATTTGTTAACTTCAGATTGGGTTTCTATCCTTTTTGGAACCCTTATTCAAGGAGTTTCAACCCCACAACTTTCGAGGTAGTCTTTAGTAAGTCTCTGGCCAGTGGCTTAGTAAACGGATCAACCAAGTTAAATGATCAAATCCTTAATTAATTTTCTCACGAGAGAGTGTCTAAGACCTTTGTTTCTAGACTTTCTATTGTATACTTCACTGAATGCTCTAGCTAGGGTGTTTTGACTATCACAGTGTATAAACTCTTTTGAAACATTTTCCTTAGCTAATGGAACATCCAACAGAAGGTCGCCCAACCATTATTCTTCTTGTCCAGCAGACGCAAGAGCCACAAACTATGATTCAATGGTTGAGAGAGTAATTCATGTTTGTTTCCTGCACTTCTAAAAAATCATTGTAAGAACAAGATTTAGTTTTGTGTCTAGCCTTGAGTTTTGATGATAACATTACACGGGTGATTAGATAACAATTTAGTACCATAATGGTTTGTGTATCTTTTTCTAATAGGTTCTGATCTGAAGATTTGGCGTGTGACATTATCATATTCAGGACTCAGCACACTAAGAGATACAAGTGCTTGTGTCATTTCTTAGAATGCTTCTAAAACAACGGTTCTGATGAACGCTAGTTTTAAAGCTTTTAACTATGACTATGATATTGGAGCTACTAATTGTGATTCTAGTAGTGGAGCTTCTAAAGGGTTCTCAAGATCTAAATATTCCAAGGTCACTTGCTCCAAGGTTCTGGAGACCAAGTTTTGAGGACTCTGAAGACAATATTTTGTTGAATAAGTTATGAAGATTCTAAAGTCAAAGGTTCTGAAGACAGCGGTTCTGAATACCAACGTGTTGAAGACTCTAAAGACAAGGTTTTGTTAAACAAAATTCTAAAGACACTGAAGACCAAGGTTCTGAAGACTCGTTTTGATCCTTCTAAACATGATTTAACTCCTATACATTATGAAGCCTCTGAAGTTTAGAAGAGAATATCAGATGGTTTATGTGAGAAATAGTACAAGATCACCTTTTTCCACTACTCTAATTTTGTGGCACAAGGATTGTACTATTGGTACAATATTGTCTACCATTCACACTGACCGTTATGCAAAAAGACAACTAGAAATCTATTTTCCCATTCTACCCTCCAAACGATTTTTTCGCTATAAAAGGAATACTTGGATGAATTTGAAAACAAGGAATTTGCGCTGATTTATTTTGCTAAAACACTGCTGAAGTATCATTGTAAATCTTTTGTAAAATTTTGTAAAGCAAGGAGCCTTTGTTCGTAAACTTTCTAGCAAAGAAATTGTTGTTCATTAACTTTCTCTTAACATTGTTGTGTTTTTATTTGTACTTCATTTCTATGTAATATTCTCTCAAGAATCAATCTTGTTAACACACAAACTTGTATTAAATAGTGACTCATTTGTTCCTTAAGAGTCTAGGGCTTTAGTCAGAATTCTCAAGAAGACATTGGTGAAGAATGGAAAAACACAAGAAGGGGGGTTTTAATTGGGGTTTTTAAAACTTAAAGTAAAAGACACGTTGGTTATCCTGGTTCGTTTGAACTCAAACTACTCCAGTCCATCCGCCAAGGTGATTTCGCCTTTCTCAACGTGGTCTTAATCCACTAATTAAACTTGATTACACAGATACAATGACAACCGTCAATGTCTTCTTGAGTTTAAACCACAACTCGATTTTCTCAAGGTATTACACAATACAATATTTGAAACAGTGTACAATATGTGTTTTCTAATAAAATAGTATCACACAAGTGATGTTTTACACCAATGAATTTTTGTAAGATGAAGGTGATGAAAATAGTTTGTTTGTTGTGCGCAGCAAAATCGTAAATGGTTTCTCCTTCAACTCTTGTATATATAGGAAACGCATGTGAGGAGCTTTTGGAATGTTGATAAATAGTAATTAAAGAACTTTCCAAACATATAGATACTTGTTCTCTTTCATCTGTTACTTTTGAATAGCCATAAATGAAATGTAACGCTTTAGAACATGCTTGCTTCAAAACGCTTTAGAAGATGCATGTTACCGTTGGGACTCCTTTACTTCTTTCCAGAACTATATGAATCAGAATAATGGAGTTCCTGTTCGCAACATTTAGTGCACTCAGAAGTTGTAGCTTAAGAACTTCTCTATATAAGCGTGTTATGCAGATTTCTTTCTATATAAGATGTGTTGAATCAGAGTTTAAACAACGATCTAACTCATCTTATCTGCTTCTTCCATCAGAACTTCTCTGTAAAAAAAAATACTTATTTAGGGAGCATAATTTTTCTTTGAGTGTTTGTTATCATCAAAATTCTTACAAGGGTTGTAGAATCAAACTATGTTCTAACAATCTCCCCCTTTTTGATGATGACAAAAACTTGGATATTTTAATAGAAACTTAAATAACATAAAGCATTTAAAGTCTCCCCCTGAGTTGGATACTCAGATAGAGAAGAAATACTTCCCTGAAGATTGTTCTGATCAGAGTTTTTGATGCGTCCACTTCTATCCTCAACAAAGTTTGTTCCTGTTTTTCTTTTAGAAAAAAAATAGTAGAAGTTATGATATTCAAAATGTTTGAGGCTGAGTCTCGATACTGTTATATTTAAAATATCTTGCGTTCTCCCCCTTTTTTGTTAAGAATCAAAAAACAATAAAAACACTTCAGACAATAAAAGGTATGTTGTATTCAAAAAGATTCCAATAAAAACACATTCTGAAGGAAACAAATAAAAAATGAAGAAAACAAATTTCAGAACTAAGTTTGAGGTTGTGGAAGTTTTGTGAACATGGCTTCCAATAAACTCTTGATCTGACTGTTTGATTCCTCTTGTTTTGCAAGCATCCTCATAATTTCCTTGCACGTATCATCCTGCTTGTCTAGCCTTTCCTTAAACACGACATTCTCTCTCTTCAACTCCTCCAAAGTTTGCAGCACAAGAGATGAAGAGGGTATATCAGCAGAAGGAATCACTTTTCCAGAGAAAGCTGCGGCTGATTCTGACTCAGGAGATTTTTCAACTTCCTTGCCTTTGTCTTG